TAATGTGAATGTGCTCGTGTTTGTGTGTGTGTTTGATTGTGTAAACTATGACCTTAGTTCAAGTCAATGCACAACTATGGTAGCAGCTAATTATGCGTTTGCATGGTGTGGAAAGCGCACTGGTAGACAAAATGAGAATCACTTACGCAAGGTCCTGGGAGAAGTAGCGCGAGGCCAAGATATTTCGGTAGAGTATGTCGTTGATGTTCATGGTGGTCTTGTTACCCCAAGTCTCCATAGCCGCCATAGTACCAATTTCCAGACGATCACCGAGTTGGACAAACAAACTAAACTTCTATGAAAGGAAATATATATCGATGCGCGGTAGACTTTAGGCTGTACAAACTGTTAAATTTAGAAACAATCGATCTGTAACAAAGAATTACGAGACAAACAGTACAAAGAATATATACCGAACGATTCAGTATAGCAGAAATAACGACTTGTAACACAAACTCAATAGCCTAAGACATGGAATGAATAGCCTAAAACATATCTATGTATTTACACACGTAAATACATATTTACTGATTTTCATGTGTTATCAGTTACGAGTTAAAGTAAAATTGTACCGCACTTTAATTCGCGGTTCAAGCCTCCAAGACTAGGGTTCTTAGGTTTTCTTGTTTTTATCTTAGTAGGCTATGTGTGCGTTTGGCTATTCATAAACATTTACATAGCGCCGTCACACAGCCTTCTAAATCAAACAGTCAGCCGTTGAGCACCATCACACATAACATTTTAAAAAGACAGCCTTGTGCCACGACGTTTCATTCAAATTTCTGCCTTATCCACAGTATTAGGTAACCACTATTACTAGCTAGCTGGATATAGTGATTTTAAGACTAGAGTGGTCAAGTGCCTAACTGCTAGTATTAGCTAGCTGGATAAAGTGATTTTAAGGCTAGAATGGTCAAGTGTCTGACCGCTGTTACTAGCTAGCTGGATATAGTGATTTTAAGACCAGAATGGTCAAGTAGCAATTGGGCGTCGAGACTTACAGTGAGAATTTCGTGGCCTGACTGGCTACGCCATCCCCGCGCCTCATGCATCGTTTGAGACCAGAATTATACAAAAAGCCCCAGGGAGGTCATGCATCTGTCTTCGTATATTTATTACGATATGTATCTCTCATATAATCAAATCCTTGTGCATAAGTATTGATCACACAGAAGTACCAGAAATTATTAGCTATATATATATTTATATATATACC